AAATCATAAAAGATAAATGATGAGAATATGTAAGAAATATGAATTACAGCAAATGTCTAACCTAAAAATGCACGTTTTACATCAAAACAAATATTAGTTGACAGCAAATTCAACTCATAAATGTGTCATCCGCCATATTTGTTGGGCGCCAAGTTTCACTTAAAATCCGCTAGAGGAGAGCTTGTTTTTTTTTTCAAAAATACCACTAATTTTATATTTTGTTAAATGCTATAAATATTCTATTATAACTATATAATATTACCATCATTTAATGATAAAGCTGCAGATTTACAGTTTTTCAATTTGAATCTATGAATCTACAGTTTTCTACAGATTTTTTCTGGCCTATCTACACATTTTCTCTATGGTGACCTGGCAACACTGATCGTACGACATTAAATTTCTAGTAGAGCACGTTGTTCAGTTCTTCAGCCGGCGTCGTGAGAGGAACAATGGAACAACGCTAGACAACTGTCTCAAAAACAATTTTATTCGGTCAAATTATTCTATTTAGTTTCTTTTAATTGAATTGCCATGTGCTTTTAAGTGGCTATGAACCTGGGACATCATTGTACATAATTACCAAATTTTGGTAGGCTGCTGTCATAAGGAAAAACTTAAGGTAATCACTATTAATTTGTTCATTTTGTTTGTAACTACGATTCTATTTTATTGATGATCGAATTACTTGTATATGCATTTTTGAAAGGCATCGAATTACTTGTATGTGCACTTATTTCTGAATAATTCACCACAATATAGGTAATTGTTTATTGCTATTATTTACTTTGACATATTCTCGTACATTGCCGCAATCAAAATTGCATCTATTCTGAAATGTCACTCGTAAACAGTGCTTCGTTTTTCTATTTTACAGTTCATTTAAAAAGTACTGTATTGTTATAAATAAATGACAATGCTGATAAAATTAAATGTACTTTTTCATTCAGGTGCTTAAATTGTTTAAATCAAAAATAATTCTATATGAATTTTACAAAATAGTACTGCAGTTGAGTGGAATTCTGTCTTAAGGCAATTAAGGCATCGTGCCTGAGGCATATTGCTGGTACTTCCCGTACCAAAAATTATTATTTTTTTAAAAACAATTAACATTTTTGAAAAAAATTTACTTCGAAAAAATAAGATTTTTGAGAAACTATAATTGGACAAAAAATTATTTTTTGAAAACAATTTTTTTTTCTTTATTTTGACATATTTTGGAAGATCAAAACTTTTTTCAAAGCAATTGTACTGCTTTAACTGCATAAAGACGAAATATCAAAGCGCGTAAAACGCCGCGCCGCCGTCTAACGGTTAAACATTGGTACGGAACCCATAGGAATGTAAACAAAATTTATACTTACTGTTAAAATGTCTATAAAATATCTGATAATTTGATGTGCATATGTCTAATGTTCATTTTTGACCGCCAAATGGCATTTTTTTACTTTTTTCATTATATCTTCGAAACCGCTAGACCTGCCTTTATGAAAATTTGATCGGTTCTTCACCTTGTCAATACAAGTAAAATGTTTTTTGAATCATTCAAATCGGGTACTCCGTTCTCTTAAAAACTGAGTTACCGTTTTCGGCACTTTTTGCCCCGTATCTTCGGAACGGCTAGACCTGACTTCGCCAAAAACTAATCAGCACGGTTACTTATCAATACGAATCGAACATTTTTTGAATTATTCTAATTGCTTCATCCGTGTTCCCGAAATCGTCGACGAAAATTTGTTTCCGCACACACATACATACAGGCACGCACGCACGCGCACACACACATACATCCATTTTTTCTAGGGTATGCCAAAATGTTCAGAAACCTCTGAAACGTAAAGATATATAAAATTTTTCGTTTTCGATTTTTTGCGATTACTATAACTTGCCCTACGGGAAGTTAATAAATTGAAAAATATGATTCGATTAGTTTTGTCTATGAATTAAAGCAAATTTAACATCATTTCTTATTTATTAAGAGTATTTCAAGTGATCAATGTATATTATGATCACCACATTAATCCAGTGCAATTAGTATTTAACATGTTTTCAAATTAAAATTATGAATATATAAAGTTCATTATATATAGTTAAGGTATTCGCTTTTATTTAATAATTTTAAATCAGATTCCAAAAAAATAAATTAAATATTTTACTGTTAATATTATATATTTTATAACTTTTCTCATTGTTATACCGATTTGAATTATTCCAAGAACTTTCTGCTTGTTGCAACAAAATAATTGCCTTTGGAACAAAAATTTTTCCTATATTTTATTTTTCAAAAAAAAAATTTTTAAGATTTTTTTTATGTATACCGAAAATAATTCAGTTTTAATTTTAACACTTACGGGACGGCACCGATTTCAAAACAATTTACTGTACTGGCTGTAAACTTGATTTCATTGTGTAAGTTATGCAATTTGTTTGATAAAAATTTGTAGTCATTGAAGGACATACATTTTTAATATTAATTTATTTTATGTTTTTACAATAAAATGTCATTCGCCGCCTTTCCCTAATGCTTTTCTGTCAGAACAGACAATACAATCTCTTTTTCTTTCACTCGCATTTAGAATATGCCACTGATTAGTCAGTATATTGGTCATTTTTTTGCTGCCATAATGGTTTATTTTTCTATTATATTGTCTAATAATTCATTTGTAGAATATAAAGTGAAATAATCTATTGGATGTCTTATTAACTTCCCGTAGGGCAAGTTATATCGCAAAAAAATCGAAAATGAAAATTTTTATATATCTTTACGTTTCAGAGTTTCTGAATATTTTGGCATACCTTAGAAAAAATGGATGTATGTGTGTGTGTGTGTGTGTATGTGTGTGGTATGTATGTACGTGTGTTGTATGTATGTGCGGATACAAATTTTCGTCGACGATTTCGGGAACACGATCAACCGATTTGAATAGTTCAAAAAACATTCGATTCGTATTGATAAGGGACGTGCTGATTAGTTTTTGGCGAAGGCAGGTCTAGCCGTTCCGGAGATACGGGGCAAAAAGTGCCGAAAACGGTAACTCAGTTTTTAGAGAACGGAGCGTCCGATTTTAATAATTCAAAAAACATTTTACTTGTATTGACAAGATGAAGAATTGATCAATTTTCATGAAGGCAGGTCTAGCGGTTTCGGAGATATAACAAAAAAAGTAAAGAAAATGCCATTTGGCGGTCAAAAATGATCATTAGACATATGCACATCGGATTATCAGATATTTTATAGAGATTTTAACAATAAGTATACATTTTGTTAACATTCCTATGGGTTCCGTACCAATGTTTACGCGTTAGACGTCGACGCGGCGCTTACGCGGTTTGATATTTCGTCTTTATGCAGTTAAAGCAGTAAGATTGCTTTGAAAAAAAGTTTAGATCTTTCAAAATATGTCAAAATAAAGAAAACATTTTTTTTTCAAAAAAAAAAATACGAAAAAAAAATTAAAAAATTTTTTTTTTTTTCAAAAAAAGTAATTTTTTGTCTAATTGTTTGTCAAAAATCTTATTTTTTCAAAGTAATTTTTTTTCAAAAATGTTAATCGTTTTTAAAAAAATAATAATTTTTGGTACGGGAAGTTCCAGCAATTTGCCTTAAGGCACGATGCCTTAATTGCCTTAAGACAGAATTCCACTTACAGCTAGTATTGCTTGGCATTTGTAGTCGGGGTGTTGTGTTTATGTATGTCAACAGTGGCGGCACTAGACCATGCGGGGGCGTCGGCGAAATTTGTTTGCGAGGCCCCCCCTTTTTTCTCAGTTATAGTTAACTAATGGTGAACGCGTTTCGTAAAATGTATAACCGTAAGCGCGGCGCTTACGCGCTTCAAAAAATTTCGAAATATATAAAAATATTTCCAATTAAAAAAGTTAATTTCTTTCAAATTTTTTTGATGCCTTAAGGCAAATTACTGAAATTTCCCGTACCGTAATTTAAATGTTTTAAAAGCTTTAAAGATTTTTGAAAAATTTGAAAGAAATTAACTTTTTTAATTGGAAATATTTTTTTAATTGTAAGCGCCGCGTTTGCGGTTATACATTTTACAAAACGCGTAGAAATGTAAACAAAAATAGTACGAACTTATTAACTTCCCGTAGGATAAGTTCTTGTAATGGGCCGAAAATCGAAAATGAAAATTTTTACATTTCTCGACGTTTTGAAGGTTTCTGAACATTTTAAAGGCATACCTCAGAAAAAATTATGTGTGTGTGTATGTATGTATGTATGTATGGATACAAATTTCCAGTCACGTTTTCTGGCGCACGGATCAACCGATTTGAATGGTTCAAAAAACATTCGATTCCTATTGATATGGAGGTGTGCTGATTAGTTTTTGCAAAGGCAGGCCCAGCAGTTACGGAGATAAAGAGCAAAGAGTGCAGAAAATAGAAATCGTGTTTTTTAGAGAACGGAGTATCCGATTTGAATGATCTAGAAAACATTCAATTAGTAATGATTGGGAGAAGTGGTTATTAGTTTTTCGCAAAGGCAGGCCCAGCCATTTCGAAGATACGGAGCTAAATGTACAAAAAATGGCAGTTTTTGAGAGAACTAAGCGTCCGTTTTAAATGATTCAAAGAACTTTCTGCTTGTCTTAACAAAATAATTGATTTTGGAAAAAAAATTTTTCGTTTCAACTTTTAATTTTTTTGTATATCGAAAATAATTCAGGTTTTATTTTTAATTATGACTAGAGTTCTAATGTACTTTAAACAAATAATTTCAACTTTGCAATTCAGATTATATAATTCTTATAAATATTAGACAATGTTACGATATTTATAATAATCTATTTGAAAACATTCAGTATTCCTCGAACATTTCGCTACGGTACGGGAAGTTTCAGCAATTTGCCTTAAGGCACGATGCCACACACCCCACTAGTTATTACTGAATTTCTTCATTTGATACTTTAAACGGTTTTAAATATATAAAAGCGTCAGTTATATATTTTGAATAGTTATATTTATATATCCACTATCTATTTTTTTTTTCAAAATATTAGGCATGACAAATGCGGTTTACTTATACAAGTGTTAAAAATGAAGTGATTAATCAATATGCCATGACTAGATTTATGAAATTGCCTATGTCACGCGTTAACATATACAATTTTTGATCTATCTTTAGATGTGGAAGATGTAAAATTGTGACAAACTCCGACTATCCGAACAACTCCGAGGACTCCGAGGAACTGCTGCGTATACTTCCTTCACTCCTGCAAATTCTGATAAAGCTGCTGATTTAGTGGCCAGGTCGTCAATCCTCAATTACAAGACATGTATGATGTGGGATCCACACAGCCGCCAATGAAATTTATACACAATAATAGAGCGCAGAGTATGTTGATGATCGAGGCGGTTGTGGTACATAACTATGATTATTGCTTGTTGGAAGTTGAGGCGGGTATCTATTATGATAATTAGTTAGAGGCGGTTGTGACTGGGATACATTTGGAATATACATTGGATGTGGAAAATTCTGTGGTGGTAATTGACATCTACTGATTGCAAATGTTGGCATGCCCGTTACTAGAAGTTAAAAGCGGTTGTTGAGTCTGCTGTGGCTGTCGTGCTTTTTTCGACAACAGAGGCACGCTCAATCTGAACATTGAAAACGACGTGGACCTCAATCTGGACCTCGACCTGGACCTTCAATCCTCAATTACAAGGCATGGATGATGTGGGATCAAATGGCCGACATAGACGTAAGTACTTGGATCCATTCATATTGTTGTTTAATAATGAAACTTTATTCAAACCAATTTGGTGTTATGGTATACAATTGTGGGGCAGTGCTCATAACACTAATATAGAAATTATACAGAAATTTCAAAATAAATTTTGAAAATTGCCTTATAGCCTAAGAGCCAGTGAACTATTTGACTAACTTGTTTTCTCAGAGCTAGAAATTTTTTTAATGATATTTTATTATCGATACATTAAGGGGGGGGTCTTCCTATGTGACGGCCTGTTTTTTAGGGATATTTTAGAATATTTTTTCTACGACCAGTAAATATTTAGAGCTTCAAGTTTTTTATCATTTATTAACACATATTTGGACAGTATAAATATAAAATTTCAGCTAAAAATATTCAGTCAAACTAAAGTTACAACGCTCTGAACACCCCCGCCTCGAAAAAAAGATCTCCCACTTCCTCCACGATTCCGGCTGATCGGTTATCTTAAAAAAAAAAAAATAAACGGCGTTTTAATTTGTAGGCTTAAAAGCACGGAATGACCTATAATGAAATGAATATAAAAAAATTGGATTTTTGATAGACATTTGAAATAAAAGTTGCAAATTAGGCGTTTTTTTTTTTTGTTTTTTTTGCTATAAAAAATCGAAGTTTTGAAATTTTTGATTGATAATAGTTCATTCCATGCGTTTAAATATATTGAGTGTGCCCTGTAAATTTCAAGTAATTCGGTCCAGCCGTTTCTGAGATACGATGGAGGAAAGTTTGAAAAACACAGTTTTGAGAAAAACGCGTTTAAAGATAAAATGATGGTTGTACTATATACTATATGTATACTTTTTAAATGGCTGTAACTCAAAAACTATTTGAGATATCGATTTGAAATTTTAATATGTTATTTTTAAAGGTATAATCTACCGAAATATGAAATAAAAAAAAAATCAATTTTTTCAACTCATCACATAGGAAGACCTCCTTAAGAAAGTGCCGGTCTGGCAAGCATCTCGCGATTGCGTCATCATCCCTCGAGTTTTTGAAAATGTAAAAAAAAAAATTTTTTAACTTGCTTTCACAAGGCTCAAATTTTGAGTTTGTATTCTTGTAACTGTTCAGAAAGCATATGTAAAATGACAGAACATTCAAAATATCGATGCCAAAAAAATATCGTGGCAAAAGTATCGATAGTACTCGATACTCGATCGAAATTTGAGTACTTTTCATAAAAATCAAACATAAGTGCAACAAAGATCTAAACCTCATTAAATATCGTATCACAATATTAGAATGAATTCTATTGCTTGTATCTGATGTGTTAAATCAGAATCATTCACAATATTGTAAAATTTTAACAGTAATTTTTCAATACTAATTTTAAATTCTATAATTTTTCAAAAAAAGACAAGTTATAATAGTTGAGTATTTTTGACAACAATATAATAGTCTGATACTATATTCAAAAAGCAACACTTTTTAAATATTTTTAAGTACAATAATAACTTTAATATTTTTAAGTAAAATAATATTTTATTATAATTGTTGAATATTTTTATATGAATAATTTTAGCGAGCATGCAACTTTAAAATTCGTTACATGTTTACATAAAAGTGCAATATGAAGCTCTTTGGAAAGCAATAAAGATTCAGTTTAATGACGGTCAAGATAATATTTCGACACTTGTAGAGAAACATCCCGTCGGAGCAATGGGATTTAAAGTTTAAATGGTTCCGAGAAACTCAAACTCATATGTTTGCATGTTGATATTCAAAAATTTGAATACATGAGTATTTTGCGTAAAAAAGAATCGAAATATAATTATGTCAAATAATAATTCTTATCCATTACAGTATATTAGTATTTTGCGTAAAAAAAATCGAAACTAGTGGGGTGGGTGGCATCGTGCCTTAAGGCAAATTGCTGGAACTTCCCGTACCGTAACGAAACGTTCGAGGAATATTGAATGTTTTCAAATAGATTATTATATATATTGTATTATTGTCTAATATTTATAAGAATTATATAAACTGAATTGCAGAGTTGAAATTATTTGTTTAAAGTATATTAGAACTATAGTCAGAATTAAAAATAAAATCTGAATTATTTTCGATATACAAAAAAATTAAAAAAAAAAAAAAAAAAAAAAATGGTACAAAATTTTTTTTCCAAAATCAATTATTTTGTTAAGACAAGCAGAAAGTTCTTTGAATCAATTGAATCGGACGCTTAGTTCTCTCAAAAACTGCCATTTTTTGTACATTTAGCTCTGTATCTCCGAAATGGCTGGGCCTGCCTTTGAAAAACTAATAACCCTTTCTCCCAATCATTACTAATGGAATGTTTTTTAGATAATTCAAATCGGATGCTCCGTTCTCTCAAAAACTCGATTTCTATTTTCTGCACTCTTTGCTCCTTATCTCCGTAACTGCTGGACATGCTTTGCCAAAAACTAATCAGCTCTTCTCCTTATTAATAGGAATCGAATGTTTTTTAAACCATTCAAATCGGTTGACCCGTACGCCCGAAAACGTGGACGAAAATTTGTATCCATACATACATACACACACACACATCCATTTTTTCTGAGGTATGCCAAAACGTTCAGAAACCTTCAAAACGTCGAGAAATGTAAAAATTTTCAATTCCGATTTTCGGCCCATTACAAAACTTACCCTACGGGAAGTTAAAAATATAATTATTTCAAATAATAATATTCATCCATTTCAATATGTTAGTATTTTGCGAAATGGATGAGTATTATCATTTGAAATAATTATATTTCGATTCTTTTTGACGCAAAATACTGATATATTGAAATGGATGAGTATTATTATTTGAAATAATCATACTTTGATTGTTGAATATGTTTTTATAATACATTTTGGTACTTTAAAAGCCGTTTCATTTTACATAAGAGTAATAAATAAACATCTTTATTTATTAGTGTGGTCATATTCAATTTGGGTTTTTGAGCAATAAATTCTGAGACTAATGACACCTCTCGGGATTATTTTTGACACCTATAGAGACTATTGCATTGCATTTCGCAAAATGAGTGGTGTTCATAGTTGGTCGATGAGTGGTGTTCATAGATTACGCTGTCGATTCTTTTTGAGTACTATCGACGAAAAAGATCGATATTGGCAAATAGATCGAGCTAGAAAATCGATACCAAAAGTGCTCACTATCGACCGCAAAGTATCGATATTTACTCAGTACTCGATATTTCGTTCTAACACTAATTGCCATACATAATCAACTAATACCCTTGCATTTGAATAATTTATACGCCATTTTGAAGGTCATTTTAAAAACATCCGATATACCAAACTTCAACTTTGTATCTCACCTTATGGCCGAGATATGATAGAAAATATGCCAAAGTGGCCCCTTTTCCGAACTCAATTTTTGGCGTAACCATAAAAGATATCGAAAAAAAATTACGTGATTCTACTCATATTGGCTTAGACCACATAATGTATAGTAATATATGCTAAATAATTCTTTATTATTAGCTAAAAAGGATAAAATAATTATTCAATTAATGTTTTCGGATAGTGCGTTTTGTTTAATTACTTTCTTATTAGCGTTATTCGAAAGCCTATTGTTTTTTCTTTTAGCACTGAGAAATTTTGTTCAAATCAAATTTGTGGAACACATTTAAAAATTAAAGAAACCAGAGTTTGTATACCCGCGTGTAACGCATCGCGCACTGCTTTCCGACCGAACGAATTCTATTTCTTGTTTTTTTTTATATATCTTCTATATATGTATATATAAATAAGTCGGGTTTTCCTTCCTGATGAAATAACTTCAGAACGCACAAACCGATTTCGACAATTTTGCATTCGTTGGAAAGGTCTCGGGCTCCACAAGGTTTATAGCTAAGAAAATTAGTTGTGCATGGCATCATGTCCTAATGCAAATTGCTGGAACTTCACGCACCGTAATTAAAAATTCGAGTAATGACATTAGTGAGAATTATCCGAATTATGCTTGGTTAAGTCAACGAGCAATTCTTGCCTCAAAGAACAATGGTGCCTTGCGTTCGCACTGACAATTAACAAGTTACAAGGCCAATCGCTTAGTGTTTGCGAGATGAATTTCAAATAGATTATTTAGAAAATCATTGTTTTTCACATGGGCAGTTGTACTTTGCCTGTTCACGAGTTGGAAAACATCCGCTTTGTTTGTGTTAACGTCAGACCAAAAAACAAAAAATGTGGTTTACCAAAGAGCACTTCAATGAAACGGATAGTTTGCGGATTCACTTTCATTTACTTAGAGAAGTTCAACAAAAAAACTCTTCATTTTTGTAATCGGAATAAATTCATTATTACTGTTGTGCAAGAAAATCACATTTTTCCTTTTCAAATATAAAACAAACAAAAAATTTCTTCATCTTTCTCACGAAACCATCTGGTGGCGAAACGGAGTTCGTCGGGTTTGCTAGTTATAATATAATATGTAATATTTCTATTATAAGCGAACTCAACACTGCAAAAGACGGTAAGAAAAGAAAAATCATCTAAACTATAAATATTTACTACTAATAATCGTTAATATATAAGACATCAAAAACTAATTTATCCCATATAAATGCATGTAAAATGAATGGTGGTCCAGACAGTTCGAAGGTGGAAAAATATCCGACCGACGGAGGGTTAATATTGAATCGATAATTTACACATCCTTATTTTGATACATTGCAGATCGTGGTCGTGGTAATAGAGGTCGAGGACGCTTACGCAACCGAACGACTCGCAAAAACGTCGAACAAAGGCGCAAGACCGGGAGTAGAACTAGATCAAAGTCGAGATCCAGAACTAATTTGCAATTGAGATCGAAGTCGAGATCCAGATCTAGATCCAGGTCGATGCCCAGATCGAGGTCCACGTCGTTTTCAATGTTCAGATCGCGCGTGCCTCTGTCCTCGACAATGTGCAATATTAATGAGATACAGCAACAGCATCAACGACGACCACAACCGCTTCCAACTTCTAGTAGCGGACAAGCCAGCAGGAGCATTTGCAATCAGAATAGAAATCGATCTCAATTACCACCACTGAATTTTCCACATCCAATGTATATTCCAAATGTATCCCAGTCACAACCGCCTCTTACCAATTATCATAATAGAGATACCCGCCTCAACTTCCAACAAGAAATAATCATAGTTGTGTACCACAACCGCCTCGATCAACATACTCTGCGCTATTATTGTGTATAAATTTCATTGGCGGCTATTTGGATCCCACATCATCCATGTCTTGTAATTGGTGATTGACAGGAGAATTTGCAGGAGTGGAAGAAGTATACGCAGCAGTTCTCGGAGTCCTCGAAATTGTTCGGATAGTCGAAGTTTATCACGAATTTTACATTTTTCCACATCTAAGATAGATCAAAAATTGTATATGTTAACGCGTGACATAGGCAATTTCATAAATCTAGTCATGACATATTGATTAATTACTTCATTTTTAACACTTGTATAAGTAAACCGCATTTGTCATGCCTAATATTTTGAAAAACAAAATAGATAGTGGATATATAAACATAACTATTCAAAATCCCATATCATCCATGTCTTGCAATTGAGGATTGACGACCTGGCCATTAAATCAGCAGAAACGTCGAACAAGGCGCAAGACCAGGAGGAGTAGAACTACTAGATCAAATTCGAAATCCAGAACGAACGAATAGTTATGCAACACAACCGCCTCAGGCGAATCGCCATAATGCTTACATTGAATCTCCAGAATATTATCCTCCTCCATCCCAGGAGGTGATGATGATGAGCCCAAATATTCCGCCGATGAATAGCAATCGGTACAATAACGGTCCGCCGATGATGGTTGATGTACGACATACGATGAGAGGCGGCAATTACCGTGGCAATTTGGGTAGCAGAATAAATTTCAGAGGAACCTTCCACGACCAACGCACAGACATAAGCTCGGTGCAGTGGCTAATTCAGTTTCTGGGGGGGCTCGTAATTGAAAATTTTTCATAGTTTAAAGTTTTAGCTCTTAATATTGTCCTTTAGATAGAGCGCAAGTCAAAAGAAAATTTTGTATGGAAATTTTCAAAAATTTTAAACATTTTCTAGATATAATTTAGCGAACAAATGAACAGTTTTTTTATTAACTTCCCGTAGTTGGAAAATATCCATATTAAGGACCACTCTAATTCATATATATATATATATATATATATATATATATATATATATATATGTCTTATGTTGAACTGGCAATTTAAATTTTTGGCACAAATACCAGACTTTTACTCGGTACTTGCAATTATTACTTTATCATTTAAATCCAAAATTATTTATGCCAAGAAATATTACTGTATATAATATTTTAAATACTAAATGCAAAATATAAATTGCCAAATTGCTAAAAGAAAGTTTGACAGACCTATTTTTATTATTATAGACCAAATTATCAATTCTGCTTTAATTTTTTTTTTTGTGAGAACAAATTAAAGTTATCTAAAGATTATTTATGTGTTAAATGTTGGTTGTTCACATTTTTATTTGATATTTGCAATAATTTATTTATTCATTTTTATAAAATTACTTGTTGTATTTATAATACGTTTAAATAATAGTTTATTTTATGGTGCTTGCACAAAGTATACCAGACTGCAAAAAACGTTCCATTGGCATCTATTAAAAAAAAGTGAAAAGATACAATTTAGTGATTGTGAAGCGATAAAGTGATTTGATACATTTTTTATATATTATGAATGAAACCAAGACCCATCCAAGACTTCTGTAATTAAACCTATCAATAATTAAAGAATAAAATTAACTTTGTTTTCCTATTTTAATTTCACATTATTTTTTTAAATGTTTTTAACAGTCTGGTGATATTTGCATCCACATCTTCAAAATCACTTTGCAAGGTTTTAATAATGCTCAACAATTTTTTAAACAACAATAACGTGCACAAATTGTTATAATATAATTCTTAACTCAAAGCATAGTTTGAATTAATATTAATTAATTGAAGTATTATTTGTATGTTAAATAATTTTCTTCGTCTGTATATATAGATATAATTGAATGATTGTGTGGAAAATTACAAATTGTATCCAATAATTTGTAGTCTTGATAACAGGATAAAGCATTTTCAATATATCTAGTAATATATAACTGATAATTTGAGGTTTGGATATGTAATGGACAAATAAAATTAAATTAATGTTATTAATAATCTTGTTAAATAATCTTGAGGCAGACCAAGTTATTTACTCATCATGAAAATTGATTTGCAAACTGGTTAGTTTAGAATAGGAATGATGCCGATATTTTTTAAATAAATATTATGTTATAAAAATCGTCTAAATTTTTGTTAATAAAATTAAATTATTTATAAGTAAATTTAAATTGTATTTTCCAAAGTCGATGCTCACAATTTAAAGTTGTTATTATTATTTGTTTAATTATTTTATTAATGTTATATTGAAAATGTTTATTATGTATCAGACTACTTTTTCAAGAAGCGAATGTACGTAAATAATTTTTATTTTATCCTGCACAAAACTGAAATGTGCTCAAATACGATAACTATGTATATATTTAGAATTAATCTATAAGCTCTTGTGAATAATTTATGAAATTTTCTAATCTAATCAACTGATATTTATATAGTTTACGACTTAATCAAAAAAGTGTACTTATCTTAATTGCCAATTATCATGAATTGGCGTTTATTAGTATTATTAAAGTTTAAACTTTTAATAAGTAATTTTGAAAAGACAAATATATATATGTTGTGATATCACAATCCAAAGGCCTTTGAGACTTATCTATATAAATTTAAATATAAACGAAACAAAGGGAGCAACTGTAGTTTTTAATAAGAGAGCTTATATTAAGTTAAGCCTTATATTTGTATCTTGCTGGTATTATAAAATAATAATAGGATTTAATTACGGGTGCAGAACCCTTTAAACAAATATTTTAGTATTAGATCTCGTGATATACATAGTATTTTATGCAACTTTATCCCATTCCTTTGAAATCATTTATTATTATAAGATTACGATTGAACATGTGCATATCAAAAATGAAATAATAAATTATTTAATGAATAAATATTTTTATTTATTTGATTTCAGACAGAATTATTTATCCAGAACCATATAAATTATTCCACTTCACATATTGGTCTAAGTCCATATCTGATACACTAGCTCGAACTCGTTTCAAAGCAGTCTCAAAATCTTGGAATGTTATTGGACGAAGCTGTAAAAAAAACTAGGTTAAGTAACATTTTCCTCAAGGCAAGTTGCATCAAGTATTAGCAATTTTATTACTAATGTTTTAATCTAGCGGAATTAAAATGAAGACTCTTATATCATATTTTTAAAAATCACGTAAAGTGAATTGCAAAGTAAAGTCAAGTGGATAAGTGAATTAAAATTCAAGTCTTGCCTTTGCCAAAACCTGGACATTTCTCTACACTATCAATACAATTTTTTCTAAAGTATGCCAAAACCTTCAAAACGTAAAGATACTCAAAAGTTTCATAATTTCTTCATATTTTTCTGATTAAATATCCTTCCTGACTGTAAATAGTATGCATATTGGTAGTGGCAAACAAAATTTATATTTTGAATTTCATGTTCTTACCTCTGTTATTGTAAAATCATAAAAAAAATGATGAGAATATGCAAGAAATATGAATTACAGCAAATGTCTAACCTAAAAATGCACGTTTTACATCAAAACAAATATTAGTTGACAGCAAATTCAACTCATAAATGTGTCATCCGCCATATTTGTTGGGTTGGTTGGGTTCACTTAAAATCCGCTAGAGGAGAGCTTGCTTTTTTTTTTCAAAAATACCACTAATTTTATATTTTGTTAAATGCTATAAATATTCTATTATAACTATATAATATTACCATCATTTAATGATAAAGCTGCAGATTTACAGTTTTTCAATTTGAATCTACAGTTTTCTACAGATTTTTTCTGGCCTATCTACAGTTTTTCTCTATGGTGGACCTGGCAACACTGATCGTACGACATAAAAATTTCTAGTAAATTCAGAGCACGTTGTTCAGTTGTTCGGCCGGCGTCCTCGTGAGAGGAACGCTCTCTCAAAGAACAATTTTCGGTCGAATTATTTTATTTAGTTTCGTTTAATTCAATTGCCATGTGCTTTTAAGTGGCTGCGAACCTGGGACATCATTGTACATAATTACCAAATTTTGGTAGGCTGTCATAAGGAAAAACTTAAGGTAAATCACTATTAATTTGTTCATATTGCTTAAGCAACAATTGTAACTACTATTCTATTTTATTGATGATCGAATTACTTGTATATGCATTTTTGAAAGGCATCGAAATACTTGTATGTGCACTTATTTCTGATTAATTCACCATAATATAGGTAATTTGTTTATTGCTATTATTTACTTTGACATATTTCTCGTACATTGCCGCCAATGAAATTGCATCTATAGAATATATTCCGAAATGTCACTCGTAAACAGTGACCTCGTTTTTCTATTTTAAAGTTCATTTAAAAAGTACTGTATTGTTATAAATAAATGACAAAATGCTGATAAAATTAAATGTACTTTTTCATTCAGGTGCTTAAATTGTTTAAATCAAAAATAATTCTATATGAATTTTACAAAATAGTAATTCAGTTGTGTACAAACGCATAGCGCATCCAAATAGATTATTTTACTTTATATTTTACAAATGAATTATTAGACAATATAATAGAAAAAACTAGTGGGGTGTATGGCATCGTGCCTTAAGGCAAATTGCTGGAACTTCCCGCACCGTAACGAAATGTTCGAGAAATATTGAATGTTTTCAAATAGATTATTATAAATATTGCAACATTGTCTACTATATATAAAAGTTATATAAACTGAATTGCAAAGTTAAACATATTTGTTTAAAGTACATTAGAACTTTATCCAGAATTACGATTAAAATCTGTATTTTTTTCGATATACAAAAAAAAAATTGAAAAAAAAATTTTGAAACAATTTTTTTTTTCAAATCAATTATTTTGTTAAAACAATCAGAAAGTTTTTTGAATCATTCAAATCGGACGCTTAGTTCTCTCAAAAACTGCCATTTTTGCACATTTAGCTCTGTATCTCCGAAATGGTTAGGCCTGCCTTTACGAAAAACTAATAATCACTTCTCTCTATTATTACGAATTGAATGTTTTTTAGATCATTCAAATCGGATGCTCTGTTCTCTCAAAAACTCGATTTTTTTTTCGGCACTCTTTGACCGAAAATCGAAATTGAAAATTTTTACATTTATCGACGTTTT